GACAGGAAAAACCATAGCTTTGACTATTTGGATTTTGTTGGCAAGGTGATGTCTCGGCTTTTTAAGATGCTGTCAAGGTTTGTCATCGCTTTCCTCCCAAGAAGCAGGCATCTTTTAATTTTGTGGCTGCTGCCACCATCTGCAGTGACCATGGAGCCCAAGAAAGTAAAATCTGTCACTGCCTCCATATCTTCCCCTTCTATTTCCCAGGAGGTGATGGGACCAGTGGCCATGATCTTAGTTTTTTTGATGTTGAGTTTCAGACCATTTTTTGCACTCTCCTCTTTCACCCTCAGTACAAGGTTCTTTAAATCCTCCTCACTTTCTGCCATCAGAGTGGTATCATCTGCATATCGGAGGTTGTTGATATTTCTTCCGGCAATCTTAATTCTGGCTTGGGATTCCTCCAGTCCAACCTTCCGCATGATGTATTCTGCATATAAGTTAAATAAGCTGGGGGACAATATACAGCCTTGCCGTACTCCTTTCCCAATTTTGAACCAATCAGTTGTTCCATATCCAGTTCTAATTGTTGCTTCCTGTCCCACATATAGGTTTCTCAGGAGATAGATAAGGTGGTCAGGCACTCCCATTTCTTTAAGGACTTGCCATATTTTGCTGTGGTCCACATAGTCAAAGGCTTTTGCATAGTCAATGAAGCAGAAGTAGGTATTTTTCTGGAACTCTCCAGCTTTCTCCATGCCCATGTGGTTACCAGGGAACATGTTTCCCTGGTTAGCATAAGTCATCAGTTGGGGTAGCTGATGGGAATCCATCCTCTATGCTAGTGCCAGAGGCAATGTGCAACTAATAATGGTGTGATCATTTTTAACCAAACTATGCCATGTGTGGTATGGTTATTTGGTATTCTGGCCCAGAACCACCATTAGGCTCAACAACAAATACTTTGTAAAAAAAAACTGTCTTAAAATTTTAAACTATGTATCTTCTGTAAGACTCCAGTCCTTATTGTCTGACTGTTGAAAAAACCTCTTAATCCATTTTCACCACATCATACATCATTTTATACAAATTTATCATGTTCCAGCATATGCACTCTTCTTAAACTAAACAAGCCTACATGTTATAACCTTTCCTTACAGGAGAGTTGCTCAAGCCCTTTCATTGCAATTTACTAAGCCTGGTCATGCATCTTTGGTAAGAGACCTTGTAAAAGGCCTTTTGGAAGTCCATGAAACAATGTGTACATTATCTACATGTGCATTAAGACTTTCAAAGAACTAAAAAAAATTAGGGAGAAGTCATGATGACTCTTTTCCAATAATACATGCCTTTTTATATGCATTTGATAATGTTTTGCACTGATTTATATAGAAGAGATGGGATGTGGTGGTGCTGCAGGTTAAACCACAAAGCCTCTGAGCTGAAAGGTCATAAGATCAGCAGTTCGAATCCACGTGACGGAGCGAGCTCCTGTCGCTTGTCACAGCTCCTGCCAACCTAGCAGTTCGAAAGCATGTAAAAATGCAAGTAGATAAATAGGTACCACCTCAGTGGGATGGTAATGGCATTCTGTGTCTAGTCGCGCTGGTCACGTGACCACGGAAACTGTCTATGGACAAACACTGGCGCTATGGCTTGGAAATGGATGAACACTTTCTCCTAGAGTCGGAGACGATTGGACAATTTATCAAGGGGAACCTTTACCTTTACCTGTGTAGAAGACATACTTAGCCATATGTCTTGTGATATACAGTACTGGATCTCTTCTGGATCCCTATCTAAAAATTGGTGTAATACTGGTTACTTGTCACAAGAGATGTTCTTAGGGAAATATTACTAGTTTTTGTCAGATCTGCAATTTCACATTCTATTTATTTAAGAACTCTGGAGACGGATACCATTTGAACCTGCATAATTTGCCAAGATTAGGATGATCATTATCACCACCACCACCACCATTAAAATCACTAAATTGTATTTTAAGCCTATACATGTTGTAAACTGCCCAGAGTGATTATCAGCCAGATGGGCAGTATAAAAATGAAATCATCACCATCACCACCACTACCAATAACATTTTACTTGATATATATCCTGCACAAAGCAGCTAACAATTCACATAAGAATACAGTTAAAATCACTGCCTCAAAAAACCTAGACCTCTTTCTTTTGTCATCATTTTCTGCCTCGGCTCCTAAGACTTCACTCTTGAAAATATTAGTTCAGGCCTTGGTATCTGAACTAATGAGACAAATTAAAGAATTTATTACACTGCTTTGCCGTCTTTACCCTGTTTTAGTACTCTTATTGTCATCCAATGATCCAACTGCCTATCTATCTGGTTTTCTACACTTGTGTATTTAAAGAAACTTTAATGAATTTCTTTTGTCCAAACTGGGATTTCTATTTTTTCCCCTCTGTCTAATCAAGACTTCTATTTTCTGCAGCAGTTCTTTTCCCCTCCCAAAGAGCTTTCTTGACACTTAATGGTGCTGCTAACCCCCTGGATTTTGTATTAATACTGAAGACTTGTGGTATACATCAATACCTAAGTGTCATTATTATGATTTTGAGTAACATCCAAACATTCTGGACAGGTCTGAGCTTCCTGACTTTTCTTTTCAATTATTTATTTATCAGTCCTCTCATTTAGAGAAGATTCCTCTTTGAAATAAAATATAACTGTGCCAGAATTACAGTGGTGCCCCGCTTGACGATTACCTCGTTGTATGACGAATCCGCTGTACAATTAGTTTTTTGCGATCGCAAAACAATGCTTCAATGGGATTTTTCCATTTGACGACAATTGGTTCCCTGCTTCAGGAACCGATTTTTCACTTTATGATGATCAAAACAAGCTGAACATCCGGTTTTCAAAATGGCCACCCACTGTGCAAAATGGCTCCCTGCTGTGTTCAGGACGGATTGCTTGCATTACAGGCACTGGAAATGGCCGCCCTATGGAGGATCTTCGCTGGTCGGTGAGGTATTTCACCCATTGGAACGCATTAACCGGTTTTTATTGCATTTCAATGGGCTTTTTACTTTCGTTTGACGACAATTTAGTTCTATAGCGATTTTGCTGGAACGGATTATCGTCGTCAAGTGGGGCACTACTGTATTCTTCTAAAACCATGAAAGGCAAGTGCTCATTTTATCATGGAAAAATACAATCCAAAACATTTAACTTATTTTTAAAAGCAGCTTTAAAAATGTCACTTGCTTGTTTTTAAACAAGAAATCACTTACACAGCCATCATGCACATTCAATGTTGCTTCAAGTTTTAATCTTTGGATAAATTCTCTTCTTCCTAGAAAAAAAATGAAAAAACAGCAAACAAGAGCTTAGACAGTAAGTTCATTTCTTTAAAACGTGTCATTTCCCTTTCTAGACCAGTTATTGCTTTGCTACTATTGCTGAAATCTCTAAAGCACAACATAAGCCTTTCTGAAGTTCACAAGGTTTTCTGAACAGTGGATGAACTCCTTCTCAGTTCTGTCCAAAAAAAAACTATGCAGTGAGCCACCCAAAGGAGTACCCAGACAGAAAAAACCAAAGTAGATGACCACCAAAGCAGTACAATGTCAGAGGCAATACGTACCCACCCCCAAACTTGAGAAGACTGCCCCATTGGCCTCAGCACCTAAAATGTCCTGGTTTCCCCTGGTGTCCCTTCCTTGAGGAATAGTGCATCCCATATGCCTCTGATCCCTCCTGTTCTTTCATCTGCAGGGACAAAAATGAATACTTCCAGATGAGTGAATTCTCTTTGCTTTAAAGAAAATATTAAGGGTAATCAAAATTTGCTACAATAAAATGAGAAGTCTAAAGTTCAAAATTAGCTTCTCAGCATCCACTTGTAAAGAAAGTTTTGTCTTTCCCTGTCACATATGAATTTTACTGTAGACCTATTCAGTTACTGAGTGATAAAGAGAACAATCAGCCACTGTAATTCTGAAATATACACATATTTAGAAATACTAATTTATTTTCTTCTGCCAAAAAAATCCACAAAGGAATAGGGATGCACATACCATGGATACATTTAGGTAGAAGATTTTTAAAGCATCTAATCCACACACAACAATCTGTCTTGGATTTAAGAAAATTTTAAACATAATTCAACACAGAATGCTGCAAGTATATGTTTTCTATGTAAATAAATCCAGGTAACATAATCCGTACTCCCAATACAGAAAACATTACAAATCATTCCTGTCAGAATTCAGTTTTATGAAATGACTAATTAGATGAGTTGATAAGTGTAAATGATAGAACTCTTCTTCATGTGTTTCTCCATAAACACATGTCAATGATATTTTTTATGTGTACTGTTTCCATAACAGGCTAAACACTGCATCAGTGGACTGGCCCAGTTCGTTTTAGGTCTGGAAAAGGAAAGCTTTCACCTCTAGAGATCCAATCTAAGATGACAAGAAATCTAACTGTTGCTTTACAGGCAGGCCACATGATTGCCCCACATGTAACTTTACAGATTCTGTATGAAGCCTGTTCCACACAATAATCACAGCCATCAAGCAAGTCATGGTCATTTTTATCATACAACGTCTTTAAAGGAAGTTCACTGATCTTTTTCCTATTGAAGATGTCTCCAGAACATAGTGGAGATGCAGATTATTTAGTTTCTTCAGTGTTGACTACAACAGAATCTTCAAGGGAACACGCATCCTCCACTCATTTTGTTTTTAGTATGAGGTGTGGTTTTTATGCCATCTATTAGTTGTTTTTCTCCAACTGATTTTATTCTTAGCAAACATTATATAGTCATTGACAAACACATAAATATGGTTAGTGGTTTCCTGAAGCTGATTGTACATTCCCAGTTTATTCTACCACACAATAATTTAAAAAAACCAACAAATAGTTTTCAGGCAAATTGTGCAACCTTGTCTTAGCCTTGCCTTACTGCTTTTTGAACAAAGATGCAAGGTGGATTCCTCATAATTAGAACCATGCAGTTTCTTTATTTGTTCAGATGCGTTAACCTACGTCTCTTCAAGAAAACACAGATTATAATACTTAAGTGGTATTGACAAATGACAGTTTTGAAACTTTAACCTCTGAACAAGAATCACAAACTCTATTTTTTCCTAAAGAGAAAGTTGTCTTAAGGTAAACCTATTTAAGCCTCATTATCCATTTTAATTTCAAATGAGAAATGCATTTTGTATTCAGGTGCTCAGAAAACCTATTTTGCAAGCAGAAGCAATTCTGATGTCTTTTATTACAACTGATATAATCCTGATGCCAAATGACTGCATGGCTAAATATAATCTTTCCTGCTCATCACAGATAAAGTTACAAGCAGTTGAGTGTTCAACTGAAGTAAACAATGTTATGGTGACAGACAAAAATAGACCACCTATTATTAATTCGCAAGAAAAACATTTTATTCCCACTATAATTCTTAAGAGAGCATTTTATTCCCACTATAAAGAAAATGCAAAATAAAATGTGCATTTGTGATTTTAAATGGTATTGAAGAAGTACAGTACAGTACTGCACTTTGCGTGTGTGTCATTTCATCTAGAATATATTTGCAGAAAGTATCAATTTTTTAAATAGCATAACTAGTCATCACATCAAGTGTACTGTTCAGAAAACCAATTGAGTTTTATAATCTTTATTTTATTAAAGAAAAAGCATGTTACTAGGTATCAAAGCCAAATTAAACCAAAACAAATAAACTAGCATTGTGCTGTTTAGTTACACAGATGTAGTGAGGCAAAGAAAACATGAAAAATATAAAAGAGTTCAAAAACCTTACAAAAACACAAAAAGCCATTAAAAAGAATAAAAACAGTTCCAGTCCAGGAAATCATTAGTAAAAACAAAATAATCCAAGTAGGTTATAAAAAGGCTATAGTCCTCAGTGATCCTGTAGAACAAGAATCCTGTACTAAAAAGAAAGATTCAGTAAAAGTCCCATAGTCCTTAGAAAAGTCAAATCCAGTAAATTACCATAGTCCTTACAAAATTACAAGAGCATAGTCCATATGGAGTATTCCAAGAAAAGAAGTCCATAAAGAATATTCCATAGGTAACAGTCCATAGAAAATAGTCCATGCACAGTCCTTAGGAAAAATCCCGTAAGTCCAAAAGTAATCCAGCAAAGCATAGGAACCAGTCCATGTAGGTAGGCCACCAG